GAGTCTCGAGCCCACACTTCTCGCTACAATGCTCTATTGTATGGTGCTGTCCAGAACTGTGTAAATTATTTCCTAACACTCTCTACATATTCCACCTCCAGGGCATCCACATCTCTCCAGTAACCCAATTTAGAAACCATAGGGTCCGCTATTCACCATTTCTTGTAACATTTATATCCAACCCACTGGACTCTGTTTCACAATTTATGACATCACCTCTGCCTTCCAATTCTACTGTATTCTGATCTCATCAGATCTCCACAGTGCTTTTTTTTTTTTTTTTTTAAATCTGAACTGTGGTGTGATAGGCCCTGTCTGCTTTCACCCCTAGCCTCTCTCCACAGAGCACACCAGATGCACAGAACTGAATGTCTCCAAGGGGGAAAAATAAGTTGGGGTTAATAGGGGGGGAAGACATATATGCAAATGAGTTGTGGTTGGTCTAGGATGGTAGGAGAGCTGTTAACCATCTAACATCTGCCTCCTCTCTTTGTTCCTATTTAATTAACAAGTTAATAATGAAGGGTCCTCTCAAATCTTGAGGGTATTGTGGTAAGCAGCATAAGCTGGTCACAACAGACAACTATGGTATAGTTCTAAAAAGAGGAGATAGCTTGAAGAGTTTAACTCATAGAGACAGAAAGTAGAACAGTGACTTCCAGATGTCTAACTTTCTGACACTACAATGAGATACTGTCATCTGTAAACTAAATTGCAAAATAAATTTAGGCGAATTTACAATTTTGTATTGGGACAAATTCATAGATATTCTTGGTCAGAGGCTGCCCATGAGCTGAAGGTTGGACAGGCCTGGACGGGGAGGGCAAACTGAGGAGCTACTATGTAATGGGTATGCAGTTTCAGTTTTGAAAAAAAGTTCCAGAGATTCACGGTGATGGTGGAAGCCTGTGACTATACTTACACCATTGAAGCCTACTCTTAAGATGGTTAAGACAGCAAACTTTAAAACTAACTAGAAATCATCTACAATTAAACTAAAAAATTGGAAACCTTCCATGTTAGATGGTGACTCTGTTATGGAATCTTCCTTCACACTGTATGAAGATGTGTCATTGTGATTTGTTTAATAAGAAGCCGAATGGCCACTAGATAGGCAAGAAGAGGTTAAGGTGGGACTTCTGGGGACGGAGAGCTCCAGGAAGAAGAAAGGAGTAGCCAGTGGATGCAGACAGACATTCAGGAGGAGAAGTAAAAGTCACATGACAAACACAAGAGGAATAGAAATGGGTCAATTTAAGTTATAAGAGCTAACAGGACAAGCCTAAACTGTCATCCAGACTTTCATAATAAATAATAAGTCTCCATGCCATTTTTCGTGAGTTGGTGCCCAAAGAAAAATCTGCCCACATGACTTCCAGCAGCACTTAATGTTGGCCCCATTCACACTTCCATACCTAGATCATGTCACTTGATCCTGAAGATGACCTGTGAAGGTGGAAACCTAGCCACAGTTGTGATCCTTGACTTTAAGTTCAGGGAACTTGAAACTCAGTTGTTTTCATTAAGTGGCCTGTCTCTGCTCCCAGACCTGATTAACAATGGTGGAATTGAGTTAATTAAAAAAAAAATTCTAGGCTTTTCTAGGTATCATTTTCAACTTCTATTCTAACAAAAGGCATTAGAAAATTAATTATGGGATTGACTGCTAACCCCCAAGGAGCAGGAGTGGAGAAGAAAGGGTGGTCCTGGGAATAAGCCAAGGCTAGAATGGTGAGAAGGTCCAACCTTGATTGTGCATGAGGCTTGGAGGCTCTTTGAGCCAAGAATATACTGTGACCCAGGTAAGACTGAGGAAATAAGGTCAGCCTTGAAGAATAAAAGGAGGTGACCTATGGTGAGTCAGCATCCCTTTCTTTATAAACAGCTGGAAGAGCAACACAGAGTCTTCGTCTGTCTGAGATCACCTGACTTGTGGTTTTTCTCTGGCTGAAAGGAGAGATGCTTTTACAATGGCATCTTCTCTTTCTGGTGGAACAACATGATGCCTGAGATTATTATAAAAAGAAAGGCAAGTGAGCATGTGTGGGAAATGAGTAGGTACATGGGAGAAGCAAGATTGACCCTGGGTGATAATTACCAAGGCTGGCTAGTGTATCCACAAGACTCAGCATACTTGCTCTCCTCTCTACAATGTTAAAAATACCAATTCTCTACAGACAGTCTGGGGAGGTGGATGCCAGAGTTATCCTAAGAAGCAGTTTACTAAGTAGGTTCCTTCCTTGAAATCAATAGTGTTTGTTAAAGATGCACTTCATTCAACAGTTTAAACAGACCCTTCCAACACATCTAAACCTGTATTAGACTTAGCTTCTTTTTCATCCAGCTGTTAATAAGTGGGCAAACCACAATTCCATGGGAAATACTTTTGTAAGTTTGTTTTACAAGATCGTGTAAATTAGCCGGGCAGTGGTGGTTCACATCTTTAGTCCCAGCACTTGGGAGGCAGAGACAGGTGACTCTCTAAGTTCAAGGCCAGCCTGGTCTACAAAACAAGTTCCAGAATAGCCAGGGCGACATAGAAACATAAGATCATGTAGGGTTGGTGAACGGTTAAATAGGTAAAAATGATTGCTGTTCAAACCTGATGCCTTGACTTCAATCCCTGGAACTCAGTGTTGGAAGGAGAGATCAACTCCCCAAAACTGTCCTCTGACTTAATACATATGGTCCATGGTGTGTCTGTGTGTCTCTGTGTGTCTGGTGTAACAGTGGGCTGAGGATATTCTCCTTCTTGGCTGCTTGCCTGGTACGTATGAGGCTTTGGATTCATGCATGAGACCTTGGGCTCAGCCCCCAGCACCGTGAAAATAAACAAATAAATAAATAAAAACAAAACATGGTAACTGATTGTTCACCAGCAAGAACAAGAACCAAGGACAGTCTTCTCTTTTTGTCACAAATAGCTTTTCAGAATTGAGGATTTATTTTTCTTGAACATGGAGGAAAAATAAGGAGGCCATCAACAGCCTCTGAATCAGGGTAATTAATGTTACACACTGTGCTATCATCTCAGATCAGCTCCAGGTTCTGGGCTATACACATTCAACAGAGATAGCTGGACTCTAGTGATCAGAGGCATGGTGAAGGGCATCACACATATGGATTGTTTTTCTACCAGTATGACCGTCACCAAGTTTCCCAACCTCACTCACTTGTATCTTCATCTTGAAAGTAAGAACAAGTTCATGGGGGTTTTTTGGTTTGCTTTTGTTGGTTATTTTTATTTATTTATTTAGAGACAGGATCTCATGGAGGGCAGGCTGGTCTCGCACTAGTTTTTAAGGTGACCTTGAAATTCTGATCCTGCTGCCTCCACCTCCTGAGTAATGGGGTTACTAGGTTTTGGGTATGTACTACTTGGAACTCACAGAGATCCTTCCAAGCGCTGGGATTAAATGCATGTGTCGACACACCAGACTCATCATTCTCCTATTTGTTCTCTTAATAAACTTAACGAGGATTTCTCTGAATGTTTGATCTAACCAAATGGCTTCTACAATCCATAAAAGGAAGAAAATGGCATTTTCTGGCTCATATCATCGGAGAGTAGTAGTTTGGTTAGAGGCCAAGGAAGATATATTAAGTTGCCATTATTTAACATTTATCGAAGGAAACCACTATAGGAAAAATAGTTAATGTTTGCTTTATGCAGTACTAGTTAAGTTTTGCATTGTAGGAGGGCAACCTTTGTAGCTTGGTTTTCCATTAAGGAAGAATGAACTGGCAGTCACTGAACGTATTTTAATTGAGAGTGGAGGGGCAGAAAGGATGGAGAGGAAGCCCACAACCACCTGACAGGCCAGCTACCTGGGCCATGGGTGGAACTCGGACAGCTGCCACTGCAGGCAGCTAGCTGGGGCCTCAGAGAAGATGGCCAATCAGCCAGGTGCTTCCAAGCACAGTGTGATAGGACCAACAGAATCCTGCACAATTCCACTCATCTAATGACCACACTGGCAAGGAGCTCATGCATATAAGGGAAAGAATCGCTCACATGGGTGTCACGCAGAAGGTCCAGGGTGTTAGGTTGCTCTATCACCACAGAAGCCCGGCAGCTGACGAATGGTTTTCAGGAAGACAATGGTGTTTCCTTGGTTTTTGCCTCTCAGGTTCCTGACTCAAAACCAGTGGTGATCTACCCGACTAAGAATCGTGATTTATGTACCATTAAAGATTTTTTTCTGTAGAAAGAGTGGAACACCTCACACTGCAGGAGAGGGAACATGTGTAAGTGTTAAGTAAGAGGTGTCCTTTCTCTAAATCATGAAAATAGCTTTAGGGTATTCTTGCAGAAGGAAAACATGCTTATGTTATGAATTATCCAACTTTCATTATATAGAATAAAAATGTAGATAGTGATGGGGGTGTGAAATAAAAGAGAGGGAGAGAGAGGGGGGGGGCCCTTTAACTTTGAACATATGTTTCCAACACTCAGCTGTATATATTTTCCCCCCTGATACCAGGAAGCACACTTTCATGGCTTATCACAGTGACCATATGTAGAGAACATCATGTTAGTGATCAACTAAATCAGTTTATCTGAAATTCTGTGTTCAGTTTCTCTTTTGTGCTACCCAATATCCACAACAAATATATGCTCCGATGTCGTGATAAACATAAGGAATGACTTAGCTTCAGAAAGGGACTGTTCCTTGATTTGAAAACAAATGATCATTAAATGGGAAGAAGCCAGGTTAGCTCCTGCCTGGCATATGAACAGGGATAGCTATGGCTTCCCCTTGTCAGTCCAAAGGGATCGGACCAGAGGGCAGCTGTAAAGTAAAGAAACAGTGCCAGACGGCGAATGTGAATGAGAATGCTGTCTTTACTAAAGCAAGCTTGCATGAGTATTCACTTTCGAGTCTGAGCAAACGTCTGTCTGGTCTCGGGCCGATAACAGAAAGGAAACGTGAAAGGTGACATTTGGTTTTGCTGACTCTCTGGTAACAGGAAGAAAACAACGAGAAAAGAGTACTTACCAATGTCACAAACTTCAGTTCCTTGGCTTGGCCTGGGTCCAAGCGGAGAAAAAGCAAGAGCAGGCAGCCAAGGCCAAAGCTTACTGTCCTGGTCAGGTGCAAAGGGACAGCTCTCATGGCGGGAGAGAGCTGCATCTGGCAGCTGTAGGAGGTGCTACCCTCCAGAAGCCTCCTGGAGGGAAGTGCCTATTTAATCAAGAGGTTGACAGGAAGGCGGAGCCACATTCTTCCCTAGTAGGATTTCGAGATGGGTGGGGCAGGGCTTGGCATGCAAATAATACCAGGTCTTGTGTGTGTGTGTGTGTGTGTGTGTGTGTGTGTGTGTGTGTGTGTGTGTGTGTGTTCCAGATCCCAGCCTCTTCTACTTCAATTAGGACCCCGAGGCCCAGAGCAGGCACAGTTGGGACAGCTCAAGGCCTCCACTCTGGCCTAGCCTTCTGCTTGGCTCTCCCACAGCTGGTGGTGATGCTGTCCTGGCTTGGTGGACGCTGCTTGGGAAGAAATTCTCCCTGCCTCTGGAAGGCTTAGGCTTCTGTTCTTAGTGTTTCAGGGAGCCTCAGTTGTGGGCATGTATTGACATGGCGAGGCTCACTCTCCTGCCAAATATGGTGTCTAGTCTTAAACTCTCGTGCAGTCAATAAGGTGTTTTACAGTGGCAGGAAAGTGAGGATGGAGATATGTTAAAGATTTCTCTTCATGCCTTAAGACATTTGGGGTCATTTGTGGCAATGCAAAGTTGGGTTTGGAGGCCCCTTTTAGAAAGACTACACACAAATAATAACAAACAGTTGCCAACTGAGCCCACCAATAACTTGAACAAACTCTTTGGGTCAGAGATCAAAAACAAATAGCAACAAAGGAGCCAGCAACATGACAATTGATTGGGAAGAGGGGGTTAGCAGGCGTTGGAGGAGAGTGTGACAGGCATAGAGGTGAATACATTTCCTACATGTCACAGTGAAATCCATTATGATGGATAACTAACATATGCCACTAACACACACTAAAACAATGAAACAAACAAACAAAACCCAGGAAGCCCACACTGCTTTGCTTTATTGACAGTCATCATCTTTGGTTATGAACCTTGCAGGAGACACACCCTTGACTCTCTAGCCATGACCTCACCGGGACTCTAAGGAAGGAAATGCTATGCAGTAGGGAAATTTGGCTTTTTGTTTTTTTTTTCCCCTAGCCTGTCAGTCTCATCACTGGCTGAAACAACACCTGCTGAAGAGGTAAGAACCTGCAGGTGAGGTGGAGTGATTGGCCTGCTGTGATGTTACCGCCCCTAGGATAGAGGAAGAACAATGGTTTGCCGCAACATCCTCAGCATTTCATTAAATTTACCAGGACACCGGGTTGCATTGCCATGTGGTCTCAGGAAGCCCTGGAAGGTGGTGTGTGGGTGAGCTGTGGTTCTTCTGGCATGGGGAAGTGAGGAGTGTGTGTGTGTGTGTGTGTGTGTGTGTGTGTGTGTGTGTGTGTGTGTGTTGGGATTTAAAGGGATATGTGCTCTTCTCTTTGCTGCTTGCATTCTCTACCCAATAGTTCCACTGTGATTTTCACCCAGTGAGAACCTGAGAAGATGGGTGTAAGGCAAAGGGGATGGAGATGGAGACTGCTAGGCATCGTGGTTTGCAATGTCCTCCATAAATTCACGTGTTTTGACACACAGTTTTCAGAACGTTGTGAATCCCTGGGGAGGGGGAGCCTAGCGTCAAGAAGGGGTTACTAGGGCCAAGGCTTGAGGGTTTATAGCCGGGCACCACTTGCAGCTCACTCTCTGCTTCCTGTTCTATCAAGATGTAAAGAGCCTTAGCTGTACGTTCCTGCCATGATGGAGTTGCCTGCCACAGTGATGGACTGCATCTCCTTACAAGCCCAATCAAGCCTCTCCTCTCTTGGGTTACTTCCTGTCAGGTAACTGGTCACAAGAAGAAGAAAAGAAACCAGTACATCCAGAACAGGGCAGACATGAATTGCAGTAGCAATCCCTGTGGTGTCCACCTGGTAACACAAAGGAATCTCCACCAGCTACAGTTCACATAGACTTAGTCAGCTCCCACCTCCAAACTCGTGCTGGATCCCCGATTCTGCCGAGTATCCCGAGTTCTCAGGTTCTGCCTCATTTTTCCTTCTGTCTCCTTTATTGTTCCATGGGCCATGCTTGGAACTACTGTAGTTATGGCCTTTGCCTTTCCTGAAAAAGCTGTGGTTCGATAAGCTACCTCCTTCCTGGACTGTGAAAGCATTTCTGATCCTTGCTGTCTCTGGTATCCCCATTGGGTTTTTCTATCCCTCCCAAATGGTAACATTTCAGGAAACATTAAATATTAGCTCTTTTGTCAAAAACTGCAAAACTTCCATTTACCGCAAGGGATACAAGTGTGTTTATCTTCCCCACCTTGTAAAAACTTGGTGCAAATGTTTAGCCCCGAAGCCCAGGCAGGTAAGGCTTTTGTTTACGTAAGGCCCTGTTGCTTTCCCAAACTTAAGTGCCCCCTCCTGCTTTCCTTCCTTTCCTTCACACAGGTTCTTTTAACAATGAGGCAATGGGGGAAGACAGTGAGGCTGAGCCAGTCAATGGGGAAAGGGCAGTCATCATCTGAGGCACAATAAAAACCAAGCTAAGCTAACATCCTGTCCCCCATGGGTTTGCTCTTCCACTTTCATGATTAGCGCATGCTTCTCCTCACGGGAACACTGTTGCCTGCTCCAGACACTTTAATTGGAGCAGCGTTTTCTTTCTTTGTGGCCCCGAACTTAGTCCTAACAACATCAAGGCTTTCTTAGAGACAGAACTGGGGGAAGGCTGCTTGGGTAGAAACATCTCCAGCGCAGTTTCTGTTGACTTAGGTAGATGGCTTGTGTTTCCCTTCCATCTTAGTTGTTATTACATCTTAGACTTTGCTCACCAAGTATAAGGAGAGAAGGATTACAATTAAGCACTCGGAGGGCTGGAGTGGTGGCTCAGTGTTGAGTGATTGCTGCTCTTTCAGAGGATCTCAGTTCTGTTCCCAGCATCCATGTCAGGGGTCCCATAATCTCTTGAAACTGCAGCTTCAGAGGTTCTGATACCCATTTCCGGCTTCCACAGTTATTCACACACACACACACACACACACACAGTAATAATAAAAATAATAATAACATAATAATAATAGGGCCAGAGAGATGGCTCAGTGGTAAAATATATATTTTGCTCTTGCAAAACACCCAAGTTCAGTTTCCAGCACTCAACACCTTCTCTAGGGGGATCCTACATTACTGGTTTTCAAAGGTGCCTTCTCCTACATGCATAAATCTGTACAGGTACACATATTCATATTTAAAAACTAAAAAAAACCCATTTAAATGATTATACATGTAGTCTTATAAATCCTGAATACTATGAACTTGAGCCAGAAAGAACCTCAAGTAAAACAAAAAACCAAAGCAAACACAGGTTAGACTCTTGTGTGACGACCCTGGAAAGAACTTGGGCTGATCAGGGTACAGTAATATGAATGACATTTTCCTGAAAGAAGCTGCACCTTCACAGGCTGAGTTAGGACTTCACTGACGTGTAGAAGTTGGACCGTTGGAGGTTCAGAGCAGGATTATCTTGGTTCATCTTTAGCCGCTTTAACAATTACCTAGGTTCCCACCTCTGTATGTAAAGTTACATTCCTGTGACTGTCAGGTAAGTCCTTGGAATGTATAAATGGACCCTCATATCCACCGTCAGAGAGCATCAGATGCCTAAAGTAGAAGCCACCCTGCCCTAACCGCCCACCTCTTCGTCCCACCAGTGTATCTAAAAAGTGTCCTGATGGATGGCTTTCTTCACTGTGTGTCTCTAAAGTTTCATGAATCTGTTACTCTGTTGGACTGAAATTTGGGGTATCCTAAAGCTGTTCCAGGCCATGGTCACTCATATTTGACTCCGGAATAAACCATCTTTTATCCTTTTTGAGGTGAGAGCTGTTTTTAGTTTTGCTTTGTTTTGTCTTATACGTGAGGCTTGTAAAAACATTATATGCTTTTATACGAGCTAAGGCTAGCGATAGTTTCCCATGATTAGAATGCAGACCAGTCTGGACCATGTGCTCCATCCTTTTGCTTATCCCTGTCACATGTGAGTGCCGCCCTCTGGCTAATGCAGCGATAAGAAGTCCCATCATTGGAACAGGTTGGGGCTTTTGGAAAGTATGTGCTCAGATAGAGATTTGCATACAGGATCTCATTAAGGTGGGGGCACTTATCAACTTGAAGAGGGGGAAGAAAAATAAGCAGGTCTGGGCAGAGGGAGAAGTTGGACTGCAATGCCATGTTAATGAAAGTCAAGCTGAACCTGCTGGTTGACTTGATGACCTTTGGAGTTGTCATGAATTGGGGTAAAGGAGCAAAGATTCTTTTTACCTCTGAACTAGCCAGGTTTCAGTGGGGTCCTGACAGGAAGGGTAGCCGAGGTAAGGTGAAGGTAGCTCCTCTGAGAGGCTGACCTCAGATAGGGTGGGAGTTGAGTGAGGTGAAATGTTTTCTTAAGACATGAAGAGGATGGGCTGAGAGAATGATGCAGTGAGTAAAAGTGATTAAGGCCAAGCCTCACAACCTGGGTTCAATTCCCAGAACCCACATGATAGAAGAAGAGAAACAACCTTTGCAAGCTGTCCTCTGGCCTCCACACATGAACTGTGGCATGGGTGTGGGTACACACAAAAATCAAATGAGCAAATAAAACTAACAAATATGGAAAAGATCTGAGAGGAATGAACTTAGTATGTGCTAGGCATTTGGGTGATGTAACACGAATCTATGGCAATGAATGAGAACTCATAGGAAACACTTCTGTGGTCCTAGGTAGATCACGGGCCAGAAAAGCTCCAAATGAACTGCTGATGAGGAGATGGGTTGGGGCTGGGACTTAGCTCTGTTCACCAGGTGGGAATGCTGCCTAACCCATCTGGATGCCGATAGTCCTCACAATTACGTTATTGGACTCCTAGCACCTGACGGACTTTCAGCCAACTATAGTATTGATTAGTCAACTGGGATTATAAAGGTAAATTATTACATCTGCACCGTGGTCTAAAGTGAGCTCCCCTCAGTCAACATTTAGAAAAAGGTGGGTTTAAAATAAGTGCTCTGCCTTTAATCTAGCTGCATGCATGAGTCCATGCGAGTGTA